CATCCTCGGGTCGGGGCGACGGACGCTTGCCCGTTGTCTTCGTCCGCTTCGTCGCCAATTTTTGTAGCTTATGCAAGCAGAGTCATAACGGCAACGTACATCTTTAATAGAGACAGGCGTTCTTCAACGACCATCGCTGGTTGCCGATGATCGAACCACAGGAGCACGGGCTCAATTCGCGCACCTCAGAATTCACGCGCCGGTCACGCCTCCCGGTCATGCAACCCCATCCTCGGGTCGGGGCGACGGACGCTTGCCCGTTGTCTTCGTCCGCTTCGTCGCCAATTTTTGTAGCTTATGCAAGCAGAGTCATAACGGCAACGTACATCTTTAATAGAGACAGGCGTTCTTCAACGACCATCGCTGGTTGCCTATGATCGAACCACAGGAGCACGGGCTCAATTCGCGCACCTCAGAATTCACGCGCCGGTCACGCCTGCTGGTCATGCAAGCCCATCCTCGGGTCGGGGCGACGGACGCTTGCCCGTTGTCTTCGTCCGCTTCGTCGCCAATTTTTGTAGCTTATGCAAGCAGAGTCATAACGGCAACGTACATCTTTAATAGAGACAGGCGTTCTTCAACGACCATCGCTGGTTGCCGATGATCGAACCACAGGAGCACGGGCTCAATTCGCGCACCTCAGAATTCACGCGCCGGTCACGCCTCCCGGTCATGCAACCCCATCCTCGGGTCGGGGCGACGGACGCTTGCCCGTTGTCTTCGTCCGCTTCGTCGCCAATTTTTGTAGCTTATGCAAGCAGAGTCATAACGGCAACGTACATCTTTAATAGAGACAGGCGTTCTTCAACGACCATCGCTGGTTGCCGATGATCGAACCACAGGAGCACGGGCTCAATTCGCGCACCTCAGAATTCACGCGCCGGTCACGCCTCCCGGTCATGCAACCCCATCCTCGGGTCGGGGCGACGGACGCTTGCCCGTTGTCTTCGTCCGCTTCGTCGCCAATTTTTGTAGCTTATGCAAGCAGAGTCATAACGGCAACGTACATCTTTAATAGAGACAGGCGTTCTTCAACGACCATCGCTGGTTGCCGATGATCGAACCACAGGAGCACGGGCTCAATTCGCGCACCTCAGAATTCACGCGCCGGTCACGCCTGCCGGTCATGCAAGCCCATCCTCGGGTCGGGGCGACGGACGCTTGCCCGTTGTCTTCGTCCGCTTCGTCGCCAATTTTTGTAGCTTATGCAAGCAGAGTCATAACGGCAACGTACATCTTTAATAGAGACAGGCGTTCTTCAACGACCATCGCTGGTTGCCGATGATCGAACCACAGGAGCACGGGCTCAATTCGCGCACCTCAGAATTCACGCGCCGGTCACGCCTGCTGGTCATGCAAGCCCATCCTCGGGTCGGGGCGACGGACGCTTGCCCGTTGTCTTCGTCCGCTTCGTCGCCAATTTTTGTAGCTTATGCAAGCAGAGTCATAACGGCAACGTACATCTTTAATAGAGACAGGCGTTCTTCAACGACCATCGCTGGTTGCCGATGATCGAACCACAGGAGCACGGGCTCAGCTCGCGCACCTCAGAATTCACGCGCCGGTCACGCCTGCCGGTCATGCAACCCCATCCTCGGGTCGGGGCGACGGACGCTTGCCCGTTGTCTTCGTCCGCTTCGTCGCCAATTTTTGTAGCTTATGCAAGCAGAGTCATAACGGCAACGTACATCTTTAATAGAGACAGGCGTTCTTCAACGACCATCGCTGGTTGCCGATGATCGAACCACAGGAGCACGGGCTCAATTCGCGCACCTCAGAATTCACGCGCCGGTCACGCCTGCTGGTCATGCAAGCCCATCCTCGGGGTCCGGGCAACGGACGCTTGCCCGTTGTCTTCGTCCGCTTCGTCGCCAATTGTTGTAGCTTACGCAAGCAGAGTCATAGCGGCAACGTACATCTTTAATAGAGACAGGCGTTCTTCAACGACCATCGCTGGTTGCCGATGATCGAACCACAGGAGCACGGGCTCAATTCGCGCACCTCAGAATTCACGCGCCGGTCACGCCTGCCGGTCATGCAACCCCATCCTCGGGGTCCGGGCAACGGACGCTTGCCCGTTGTCTTCGTCCGCTTCGTCGCCAATTGTTGTAGCTTACGCAAGCAGAGTCATAGCGGCAACGTACATCTTTAATAGAGACAGGCGTTCTTCAACGACCATCGCTGGTTGCCGATGATCGAACCACAGGAGCACGGGCTCAGCTCGCGCACCTCAGAGTTCACGCGCCGGTCACGCCTGCCGGTCATGCAATCCCATCCTCGGGGTCCGGGCAACGGACGCTTGCCCGTTGTCTTCGTCCGCTTCGTCGCCAATTGTTGTAGCTTATGCAAGCAGAGTCATAGCGGCAACGTACATCTTTAATAGAGACAGGCGTTCTTCAACGACCATCGCTGGTTGCCGATGATCGAACCACAGGAGCACGGGCTCAATTCGCGCACCTCAGAATTCACGCGCCGGTCACGCCTGCCGGTCATGCAACCCCATCCTCGGGGTCCGGGCAACGGACGCTTGCCCGTTGTCTTCGTCCGCTTCGTCGCCAATTTTTGTAGCTTACGCAAGCAGAGTCATAGCGGCAACGTACATCTTTAATAGAGACAGGCGTTCTTCAACGAACATCGCTGGTTGCCGATGATCGAACCACAGGAGCACGGGCTCAATTCGCGCACCTCAGAATTCACGCGCCGGTCACGCCTGCCGGTCATGCAACCCCATCCTCGGGGTCCGGGCAACGGACGCTTGCCCGTTGTCTTCGTCCGCTTCGTCGCCAATTTTTGTAGCTTACGCAAGCAGAGTCATAGCGGCAACGTACATCTTTAATAGAGACAGGCGTTCTTCAACGACCATCGCTGGTTGCCGATGATCGAACCACAGGAGCACGGGCTCAATTCGCGCACCTCAGAGTTCACGCGCCGGTCACGCCTGCCGGTCATGCAACCCCATCCTCGGGGTCCGGGCAACGGACGCTTGCCCGTTGTCTTCGTCCGCTTCGTCGCCAATTGTTGTAGCTTACGCAAGCAGAGTCATAGCGGCAACGTACATCTTTAATAGAGACAGGCGTTCTTCAACGACCATCGCTGGTTGCCGATGATCGAACCACAGGAGCACGGGCTCAGCTCGCGCACCTCAGAGTTCACGCGCCGGTCACGCCTGCCGGTCATGCAATCCCATCCTCGGGGTCCGGGCAACGGACGCTTGCCCGTTGTCTTCGTCCGCTTCGTCGCCAATTGTTGTAGCTTATGCAAGCAGAGTCATAGCGGCAACGTACATCTTTAATAGAGACAGGCGTTCTTCAACGACCATCGCTGGTTGCCGATGATCGAACCACAGGAGCACGGGCTCAGCTCGCGCACCTCAGAGTTCACGCGCCGGTCACGCCTGCCGGTCATGCAACCCCATCCTCGGGGTCCGGGCAACGGACGCTTGCCCGTTGTCTTCGTCCGCTTCGTCGCCAATTTTTGTAGCTTACGCAAGCAGAGTCATAGCGGCAACGTACATCTTTAATAGAGACAGGCGTTCTTCAACGACCATCGCTGGTTGCCGATGATCGAACCACAGGAGCACGGGCTCAGCTCGCGCACCTCAGAGTTCACGCGCCGGTCACGCCTGCCGGTCATGCAATCCCATCCTCGGGGTCCGGGCAACGGACGCTTGCCCGTTGTCTTCGTCCGCTTCGTCGCCAATTGTTGTAGCTTACGCAAGCAGAGTCATAGCGGCAACGTACATCTTTAATAGAGACAGGCGTTCTTCAACGACCATCGCTGGTTGCCGATGATCGAACCACAGGAGCACGGGCTCAGCTCGCGCACCTCAGAGTTCACGCGCCGGTCACGCCTGCCGGTCATGCAACCCCACCCTCGGGGTCCGGGCAACGGACGCTTGCCCGTTGTCTTCGTCCGCTTCGTCGCCAATTTTTGTAGCTTACGCAAGCAGAGTCATAGCGGCAACGTACATCTTTAATAGAGACAGGCGTTCTTCAACGACCATCGCTGGTTGCCGATGATCGAACCACAGGAGCACGGGCTCAGCTCGCGCACCTCAGAGTTCACGCGCCGGTCACGCCTGCCGGTCATGCAACCCCATCCTCGGGGTCCGGGCAACGGACGCTTGCCCGTTGTCTTCGTCCGCTTCGTCGCCAATTTTTGTAGCTTACGCAAGCAGAGTCATAACGGCAACGTACATCTTTAATAGAGACAGGCGTTCTTCAACGACCATGGCTGGTTGCCGATGATCGAACCACAGGAGCACGGGCTCAGCTCGCGCACCTCAGAGTTCACGCGCCGGTCACGCCTGCCGGTCATGCAACCCCATCCTCGGGGTCCGGGCAACGGACGCTTGCCCGTTGTCTTCGTCCGCTTCGTCGCCAATTTTTGTAGCTTACGCAAGCAGAGTCATAGCGGCAACGTACATCTTTAATAGAGACAGGCGTTCTTCAACGACCATGGCTGGTTGCCGATGATCGAACCACAGGAGCACGGGCTCAGCTCGCGCACCTCAGAGTTCACGCGCCGGTCACGCCTGCCGGTCATGCAACCCCATCCTCGGGGTCCGGGCAACGGACGCTTGCCCGTTGTCTTCGTCCGCTTCGTCGCCAATTTTTGTAGCTTACGCAAGCAGAGTCATAACGGCAACGTACATCTTTAATAGAGACAGGCGTTCTTCAACGACCATGGCTGGTTGCCGATGATCGAACCACAGGAGCACGGGCTCAGCTCGCGCACCTCAGAGTTCACGCGCCGGTCACGCCTGCCGGTCATGCAACCCCATCCTCGGGGTCCGGGCAACGGACGCTTGCCCGTTGTCTTCGTCCGCTTCGTCGCCAATTGTTGTAGCTTATGCAAGCAGAGTCATAACGGCAACGTACATCTTTAATAGAGACAGGCGTTCTTCAACGACCATCGCTGGTTACCGATGATCGAACAACAGGAGCACGGGCTCAGCTCGCGCACCTCAGAGTTCACGCGCCGGTCACGCCTGCCGGTCATGCAACCACGGCATTGTTGTATTATGCAACAATGATCACTATATTACAATTTTAATAAAACATTTTACATTTAACCACTCACAGTCGTGCTTGATGTATCAAAAACAAGTACAGTTCGCCTTCCAGGCGCATTAATGTGCTGGATCTCACGGAATATCACATCTGGTTTGGTCTCAAGGGCAGGTCCTTCAAACCTTCGTGAGAGAAAGTATGTGATGTTATGAAAACGTTAATGCTGAAAACACTTCATATTAAAATATATGCGTCAAATCAGACTAAACGAGGCTTACTCATGAAAGTCGTCGCTTTCTCTGATTACAGCCCATGTTGATTTAGATGCGCAAGTTCTGTAATGTGAATGTCTTGCTTGCTCAATGTTGACATTCCCTTCGTCTTTGCAAAACTTGAATTCCTGTAAAGAAATAGAGACGGAACAAAGTTCTTAATTGCGTGAAACTCTAACAAACACCACGCAAGGATTGCAATGCAGGTACCGTCCCTAATTTTAGAGTGCAGTTCTTAGGCACCCGCTTCCGGGTTGAGCGGCATCGCCGACGGCTTAACTGCGTGACGTCACGAGAGTCACGAGTGACGGCACCCTTGTGACGTCACTCAGACGTACAGTCCCTTTCCGTCCTCCTTGTGAGGAGCTGCGCTCAAATTCGGCATTCCAGATAATTGTGAACGTCTTTTATTTTATGCTTTTTTTTTGGGGGGGAGGGGGGTGGGGGGGCGGAGGGATGTTATTGTCATCGTCTGACATGTATAAACGTCCTTTTCTATGTCATATAAAATGGCGAGCCTGAGTCAGCCCCTTTTGTGTTTTTAGAGCGCAGCGCTTAAACGCCCGTTTCCGCGTTTCGCGGCGTCGCCGTTGGCGTCGCTGTCGGCGTAACCACCCCACTAAGTTTAACGGGAAATCAATTGGTGTTGAAGTCATTTGACGTCAACTTTCCCACTAAATCTAGCGGAAAAACTGAATTCGTTCATGGGTGACGTGACACGAAGTCGTGACGTCATTTTGTCCGCTAAATTTAGCGTGGGGACTACATTGGTGCTCAGGTCCCGTGACGTCAATTTCCCGGTTAAATTTAGCCGGAAATTGACGTCACGTGACCTCAATACCAATTCTACTTCCCCGCTAAATTTAGTGGAAAAAACAACGTCACATAGCTTCGTGTCACGTCACCCATGAACAGATTCAGTGTTCCTCGCCAGATCTAGCGTGTAAAAGGGAAGGAGGGGAGGGTACGGAGGGCATCTCTCCGTACTCTCCCATTCTCCTCCTCAGGAGCTGCGCTCGAATTTCGGATTACAGGGATTTGTAAACGTCGTTCATTCTTTCTTCGCAAGTTTGAAAAGCACAGATAACGGGCTTCGCCAAATGTCGAATCTTTCATGGTGACTTAGGCAAACGCTTTGACTTATGTTTCTGAGGCTCTTTTTCCAATTACGTGTACGAGATTATATTGTTGAACGAATGCCGCAACAAAAGCTCCTCTCTTAAAAAAATTGTTTTTAGTACATCCAAAACTCTTTACGTGTTATTTCAGGCTGTAAAGCGATAATGGCATTTTCGTAGAAAAATGACTGTGTCACGAGAGGGGAATTCGGGCATTTTGTTTCTGTGTCAGGGTTCACTTTAGAACAAAGCACATTGAAGAGATAACACGCAAGCGTAAAAATAAAACGTAAATATAGGAATTCATGTTACCTGCGCACCATCGTTGCAGAAGAGGTCGCAAACGTCCTCAGAGGGGTTTTCGAAATCGCCAAGCACTCCATACCGAAAACGAGCCCACTCGTAGGCCAAAAGGAACGCTGAAAAATATGACCACCTTACAACCACCCTTCGTTCTACACACTACTTCAAGGTTTCAAATCAAACGGGTCGCCCCTACACTCTAAGAAAAAGTGAGCACCCCCTCTAGTAATCATGCGTTTTGACGGCTGTAACGACCCCACAGGCTTACTCAACTACCCACTGGGCTCGAGCCATTGAGCGTTACAACCCTGTTGGCAAGTGACAAGCATGGGGTAGTCACGTCTTATAAACTCTTGAATTTAACATTCAAGTACATGCAGCCGTTCAATCGTAAAAGTCACTTCAAAAATCTCAAAAAGTACTTGAAACTTGTTTTCTTTGTGCGTTGGTTACCATTTATTCAAACTTGAACTGGTCGAAACAGGCGTGTGGCTCAGTTCGCCTAAACTGGCAGAAAACGAACATGCCAAAGAGCACAGTCAACCTTGGTAGGCGCCTACTAAAACCCGAGGCTGATAAAAAGTATGGCGGTTGTCCTTTTTGGTTCCGTCGCGGGTTTTACCATGTATTGCTAGTAAACAGTTGGCAGCTGGCGTCGTGCTCGAGGAATTTAACCAAATCTCTAGAAAACCACAGGAAGCTACGCACAGGCGTGAGTTGACTGGAATGTTCGCCGGACGAGATACTCTTGTCACCTTTTATTGTGCGGTTCAGTAAAGAGCGTGCTCTCATTAAAGGTGTGATCGGTCAGTTCTGCGTGCAGGTCCGTTGCAAATAGCCTCCTCGGTTGCGCCGAACCTGCACGCCTGTCATACCCAATTTTTTTGCTTTCAAGTGCAGTGAAGTATGAAGCATTGAACACCACGACTGAGGCCGGACAGGACGAATGTACACAGATATCTGGGATCATGCCTGTGTATTTCAGTATTTCTCTGTCTTGGGATATATGATTCGCCTTCACTGGCTCATTTGGCACATTTCATCGAGCATACTCGATAAAAAATGGTTCAAACAAGTGTATGTCATTCAAGGCGGAGTACTTTGAAGGGGACTATAATTTCAGGCCTTTTAAAGGATTCCAAGTAAATTTCCGAAAATAAGGCGTTGGCAAACATACACGTGCTATTCGGTTTAGTTTTTTTTTTTTTTTTTTTTTGTTAGAAAAAGTACTGCTGGAGAAGCCAGCAGTTGCAGCGCAGAGAACTATGTTCTCGGCGTTCTTTGATGCTTGGGGCCGGTTCAGACACTTGCGTTTGAATGCGTTTACAGCGTTGCGTCGAGAACCGAAAGCGACTCACCGGCACATCTGTGCTTCGTATGAAGCGTGGAATCCAATTCAAGGAATCGTCTTGACACGCGATATTAGCGCCGAGATGTTTCGGTGGCGCCCTCTTATGGTTTCCCTCCGTGACGTCACGACTGGGATTTGCCTCGGCATGACGTCACCAGTTGTTATCCTGGCTACGTACCATCAGGCGCGACGACGAGTTCGATGGTGTTTAAACACACAGTGGAAGCTAGGAGCCATCACAATCCGAAACTAACACCGTCAAAGTTGACAATCTGACAATGCTCATATGCCCATGGTTTGGCCAATCGTGGAAAGCTGACCGCAGCGACGCTTTTGGTCGCATGCATCGCTAATAAGCAGCAGGGATGTCCTGGATTCTCGCTGCCGCAACGCAGTCAAACGCAACTGTTTGAACTAGGGTGCCTCAATGTCCTGAAGGCACCCTAGTTTGAACCAGGCTTCAGATAATTTAGCATACGTATTTGGCGTTCGCTGTAGGTGAAGGCACGGGCCCGAAAACGGCAATTCTGCACTGTCCTTGGCGCGAGCGCGTAGAACGTATATTTGAAAGACACGCGCTTGAGCAGAAACAATTGTAGCGAAACGAAGAAAACTGAAACAACGCTTCGGGGAGGACCGGCGGACGGGCTTCGCTCATGCTTCGCTAAAATCAAGGAGGTTAGAAGTACTAGGAGGGTGCACGTTGCAATATTGGTGAAGCCTAGTCATAAAAAGTTTAAACGATTTTGTGCCCAGCGTGACCTCAGATCTCTCTGGCGATTGGTGCGCGTGACATGTCACGTGTGAGATGGATGGTTGATTGTAGAGGATTCCTTGCAAGCTTGCGGGCGCTCTATCCGGTAGGTTTTATCAGATCGGAGGCTAGACTGTGGTGTATTCTAGTGCCCCATAGATAGACGAAGGCTAGCTACGGTCACGTGATGTGGTCACGTTGGCATGGTAAGTGAGGAGAGTAAAGCCCGGTTCAAACAGACCCGAACTGCAAACCCGGGTGCCGGAATCCGTAGTGACGTCAGCGCTCCCTCCGTACGGGCGGTGACGTAAATACGGCTTCCGGCACCCGGATTGAAGAGTTGAACTTTTTTCAACTTTCTCCCGCCCGGGTCGTGACGTAGGTTTCCGTATTTTCTCCGCGGCCAATCAGCGCGGCGCGCTTCCCTCCTCCGCCCTCCTTGCCCCCGGCGTTCACGTTGTTCTGCGTGCGAATGCCTCAGTTGCCTCAGTTGCTCCGTGCTTGCTTGCAAGACAAGCTCCGGCGATGAACTTCCCGCCCGTCTCCGACGTGAGGAAAGCAGTTCAGTAAAATCTGACAAGCATGTGACTGTTACAAAAGCTGCTCTCGTGATCCGTGAACGTGCTTTCACTGCGGGAGCGCACGCTCCAGGTGAGTATTCCTGCGAGCGACGCGCGAGCCCATGTGGAACGCCACTTGATATATATCATGAAAATAATCCAAAATAAAAAAAACAGCGCACCCTACCTTGCTCGTGACATTCGCAAGCACTCAAAGAATTCCCGGCCGTCGGGGTCTTCGAACATCTGTCTCGCAACACTGTAGAACTGTAGTCTCACGATGGTGGCATACTCGTCGAGCATTTTTCGAGGCTTCAGGAGCTCGCGGACGGCCTTTCGCTTCTTCTTTTACTTCACGCTCCGTAGGTACTGCTCACACTCAGCCGCCAAAGTAGTCAGCCGACGCCAGGTGATAGTTGTTGCATTTGTGACGCACCTCACTACACCAAGGTTCATAAGTGAGGCAATTCGAGCTTCGTAGCCGGGATCCTGCCGAGACGACGCCATCACGAAACAAAGCGAGTGCCGCGGTGCCGCTCTAGACGGAGCTCGCCGCGCGCCCGGGCTGCCCGGGCCCCCGGGCGACGACCCGGCTTGACGACAGCCGCTGATTGGTTGCCTGGGGAGCCGCCGTGACGTCAGCTACCGTATGCGGAGACCCGTGTCGCGCGCCGTTCAAACCAAACCGTGACGTCAGCGCCCGTAAACGGGAGCCGGAAGTGATTACGTCAGTACGGGTTCCGGCTCCCGGGTTCCGAGTCTGTTTGAACAATACCACCTAGAACACAAGGCCTGCGCGTTTCCTCCTCTAAACGTCATCACTAGTAGATCCCCTCAGCGCCCCCTAGCTAGCCCGGATGAGCAACATCGTCTGCTACATCGTCTGCTCCATCGCCTGCTTTGGTGGTTTGTGTAACAGATAATGAAACAGATGCTCACGAAGAGTGTCTCTTGGAAATAGCATACGATGAAGTTAGACGTTCACGTGGAGTGTGAAATGCATGAGTGAAATTGCCTTACTGCTGCGCGAAGGGATGAAAAGCCCTTCATTGGACGCTGGACGCTGACACTGGACGCCATTTTCGAGGGCGCTGTTTATACCCCCGGTAGCTGCTTCTAAACGCTCTACCGCAGAACGAGCGCGCGCGCTAGGAATGCGCGTCTCAAAGTCAGGAGCGCGTGCTAGCTCGCGCTCCTGGCCGAGGGAGCGTTCGCGTGCACGTCGCAAATGCACTGGAAGCTCGCTATCAGCTCGCGCTCCGCAGTCACGCACACAGCTGCGGCCGCAAGTGAATGCGACGTAGTTGCGACGCGGCCCCTACTCTCGTCAAGCTTCGGGGTGTTTGCCGCTTGGGGCGGGTCGGGGATCTACTAACGAAACGTCATGCGCAGGCCTTGTCTTCTAGGTGGTATTGGTTTGAACCGCCCTGAGGGAAATGAGAAAGAGGTGAGGCGACAGGGGAGCATGGCTTGTGGAGCCTACGCGGCCGACGCCATGCCCTCTCCTACCCTTCTATCCTCCTTGGCTAAAATCACCTGCGCGCGCTCAGTGTACTCAACATTTACTCAACCGCCGCTGAAGTCATTCGGATATGTAAAAAGAGAAAAGAAAATGCATCAGCGTGTTTAGAAAGTTGTGATTGCAGAAATTGGTTTCGATAATTAATAGAATTAATTAAACGGGTTTCTGTATACTTGAAGTGTAGGCAAGCGAGAAAACGAAACTGATCAAAACGTGGCGTGTAGCGACTATCCAATTTGATTTATAAGCTGAAGTTCACTTTTGCAATGGATTACATAAGAGATACGAGCGCTTTCCTAAGGGCAGTAGAGAACAATAATATATACGGATAAATCTTGCACAGTCGTTTCGTATTTATGCAAAATATGACAGTGGTCACTGTGATGTATCGCGAGTAAGACCCAGCTGCAGCCGTTAGTCGCTCGACTCGTTCGTTTTAATCATGGCTCCCGACTGACCGAGACCCGTGCTCTTTCAAACCGCGCGCTCTCAGCACGCGGGGACCGCGCGCTTCCCAACATGTCCCGCCATCTGCTATAGCATAACCAGATACATCACATCTTCCCCTCACTTGGCTGTGATCCCGTATCTTGTGGGCGGTCTTCGCTCCCGCGTTCCTGCCCGGATGGGCATAGCCACAGGTTCGGACTGTTCGTTGCCTTCTGCACTTATCGCGTCAGCTGGTGCCTCTTCGGCCTGAACGTCCAAGCCCCAGGCTGCTGATGGTGTATCACTCAACCGACGTGCAGCTAATAGCCTTGGTCGTATGTGGTCCATGTGCCGTGGAACTAGTCCGTCTTCTGTCTGGATTATCCATGACCGCGAACCCAGGCGCTCTGTAATGACCCCCGACATCCAAGTTCGTCCACTTGGGAACTTTAGAACCCATACGGATTGTCCCACCATAAACTGGCGTGGATTTTCGGTTGTCGCTTGTACCTCGTCTTTGGGTACGCGTATCAGTCTCTCAAGTGGAGATGGCAACTCTCGTCCAAACATCATCCAAGCTGGTGTCTTGCCTGTCGCCGTGTGCACTGTGGTATGTTGCTTGTAAAGGAACCGTGGTAGAAAACACTTGAATTCCTCCCTTCCTCTTTTAGCAAGTGCCTGCTTTAGCTGCTGCACCATCCGTTCCGCTTGACCGTTTGTTGCGGGGTGGTACGGCGCACTTGTGACCGGCAAAACTCCATTTAGGCGGTAAAATGTCTTTATCTCATTGGAAACAAAAGCCGATCCATTATCCGATACCACTTCTCGTGGTACACCAAACGTCGCAAAAACGTTGCGTAACTCGCAGATAACGGAGGCTGAGGTCATACTCGAAATAGCACGTACTTCCAGCCACTTAGTGAACGCATCCACAATGACCAGGAACACTTTTCCGTCCACCGGTCCCGCAAGGTCTACATGAAGCGTGTCCCACGGAGTCGAAGGTCTTTCCCATGTTGGGCTGCTTCCTTTGGGTATCGCCTTCTGGTGTCGCTGACACGTGTCGCACTGGGCCACACAGGACTCAATCTCCTTGTCGATTCCCGGCCACCAGAGGTAACTTCGGGCGCACGCCTTCATTTATTTATTTTATTTTATTTATTTATTTATAAATACTGTTAACCCTTGTCAGGGTCATTACAGAGAGGGAAAAACAACAAAACACATTACCTAACATCTTTCACAACAATAGTACACGTCAAGTAGGCTCTCAAATTCACGAACATTTTCCCTGTCAACAATATAACTAGGCAATGTATTCCAGGATTCAATCACATCAGGAAAAAATGAGTATCGAAAAACATCAACACGGGCATTGAACGGCTCAATGGCTAAGTTGTGATTTAATCGGTCACTTCGTTTACATGGTAGTTTTACATAGCTGTCCTTGTTAATCTTAATTTGTCCATGGATGAGTTGAAAAAACAATATCAGTCGATGTTTTTGTCTCCTTGTCTCCAGTAGCTCTAAGTCGCATGAGTCTAACATTGATGTAACCGAATCTGTCCATTTATATTTAGCACAAACGAAGCGCGCAGCTAATCTTTGAATTCTTTCTAATTTGGACTTCAAGACTTTCTGATGTGGACTCCAGACAGCCGATGCATATTCTAGAACTGACCTCACGAATGTTTTGTAGGCAATTAACTTAACGTTCTTTGTTGCGTTGTGCAATTTTTTCCTTAAGAAGTACAATTTCTTTGAAGCCTTAGAGCACACGTTTTCCACATGTTTTCGCCAGTTTAGATCATGGGTTATTGTCACTCCTAAATATTTAAAACTATTTACATTGTTCAAAAAGTTATTTCCAATGTTATACCTAAAACAAAGTGCACTCTTTTTTTTAGTTATATGTGTAAATGTGGATTTAGTATAGTTAATTTCCATGTCCCACTTTTCACACCACATGTTCAAAGCCTGAAGGCTACGATTGATTTTAATTTGCTCATTCATATTTGTGACTACCGAAGAAAGTAAACAATCGTCGGCAAAAAGCTTCATTTCTACGCCTGGCTCTACAATGCTAGCAATATCGTTGATGTACAACAAAAATAATAAGGGTCCCAACACAGATCCTTGTGGGACACCAGAAAACACCTCCAGCGAACAAGACATACAATCGTCAACACGCACCACCTGCCTGCGATTGATCAAATAAGCCTCAATCCATTCTAATATTGTAGAGCTAATACCGATTTGTCGAAGTTTGAAGAGTAGTTTATTATGAGAAACCTTATCAAAAGCTTTTGCGAAGTCTATACAAATAACATCTATCTGCCTCTGGTCGTTTATTGCTAACGAAAAATCGTGAATAGTTTCGATTAGCTGCGTAACAGTGGAAAGATTGCTTCGAAACCCGTGTTGATGCGGGTAAAGCAACTGGTTCTCTTCAAGAAAAATAATAATATGTTTTGCTATATTGTGCTCCAGAAGCTTACATGACACAGAGGTAAGAGACACGGGGCGATAATTATTCACGATTGCTCGGACTCCGCCTTTAAAAATAGGTATTACGATTGCACTACGCCAATCTTGTGGTAGTGAGTGAGTTTGCAAAGATTTCCGAAAGATAGCTTCTAGATAAAATGACACCCACTCGGCATATCGTTGCAAAAATGCCGTCGGTATTTCATCAGGCCCACTAGCCTTCTTTACATCCAACTCTAGCAACTGCTGAAATACGCCCACCCGAGTTATTGAAAAATCTTCCATGCAGCACGGGAATGAATTAAATTGTCCACCGTCATAGCTATTACCATTGTCTTTCGAAAAAACAGACTGAAAAAATTCATTGAAGCAGTCTGCTATTTCCTTCCGTTCTGTAACCATCTTGGTTGCGGTTTGAACATGATCGATGCTTTCTTTCTTCTCACTAAAAAAACGCCAAAATTTTTCTGGCGATGTTTTCAGGAAGTTGCCAAGTCTCCGATTAAAGAACTGTTGCCTGGATTCATTTAATGTGGTTTTCAAATTACGACGGACCTGAGATATCTGGTCTTTACTATCTTTTCTTTTCCGTAATCTATTTATTTTACGCTTCATGTGAATAATCTTACGATTGATCCACGGGTTTTGTTGTTTTGTTTTTTTAAAGCGAGTCGGAATAAATCTGTTTACACAATGATTTATAACTCCTTTAAATCGCTGCCACAGTTCCTCCACGGACTCACAATCGCAGGCAAGCTGGAACTGGCTAAATGAACATTCCAAAAAATCAATTACAGAAGTGTCATCCGCTTGAACATAATCTTTGATTGGAATAGGAACAAAGGGTCGCTTACGATTTCCTATACTATGCAATATGTCCATAGCAATCATCTTGTGATCCGATAT